TAGAACACTGATTGTCCTCAGGGGTCAAATTCGCCATAATAATTCACTTTCAGGTTTTCACTCTCATGCACTCATATCATATAAAATTCGTTACACAAAGTTGATCTACAATCTATTTTATATGAAATTGGAAATTTGTACACCCTACCCTTAACGGTTTCCAAGTGTAGATCAAACATTGCTGTATTGGCCAATTAAAACAAACTTTTACCATGCTTAAGTTGCCCGACTACACAAACTTTACTTGCAAAACCTAAAAATGAGACCAGCTAGAAAGCAGGTACGTACAAGAAACAATCGACGATTAATTTTTTTAAAAATATTCTTAATTGGCGTTTATTATATTGATCCTTAGGCAGACGAATCCATTTTAAGAGTAGGACCAACAAGAGTCTCATCCGATACTCCTGGCACGTTCTATAATATATGGTACAACAAATGGTCAGGTGGCGAAAGGACATCAAAATTTTCAAGGTTTTTATGGAATTTTCTGTCTGTATAAAGTTTTTCCGAGCGTGAAAGAATTATATTTGTCTAATAAGCTTTCATAAACAGAGAGAAAGCAAAAACACGTTGTAATGTAGCACTTGATGCCGGCGAAACTAAAGGCGATAAAATGCCTAGTACATTCTTCTGTCTATATTTTGCGCGTGGATGCTGTCCTTTTGGGTAATTAAATTTATTGCCTGTTGGCTATTCTATGATTTCATCGCATTTGACCTTTTTTTCCCGTTTCAGACACGAATGCGGTTTCTGGCACAGAATACCTACGGAATCAGACCCCGTAGACACAACAATTGATGTTTTTGGACGCGATAAATTCAACGAATATCGTGATGATATGGGTGGTGTTGGTTCTTTTAATAGGGAGAATCGAACACTTTACGTTGGGTATATCCACATTAATCCTGATATGGAGGCAAGTCGAAAGAAAGATAGTACGATATCACGAATTCGATAAATTATATTTTCTCATTTACTTTTGAATACTCCATCATTTAGGAAATAGTCAGAAAACACTTTGGCGAATGGGGAGAAATTGAAAAAAGTAGATTATTGTTTTTTTTTTTTTTTTTTTTTTTTTTTATAAATACTTATAAGTAATGAAATGCACAATAATTAGTTAAGATATTAAAGGACAAGGGCGTGGCTTTTGTAACGTATATGAGTTCTCTCAATGCAGAATTTGCTAAAGAGGCAATGAGCAATCAGAGCTTAGATCATAACGAGGTGCGTATTAAAATTGACAAACTGCCACAGATACCACATATTACAGAATTGTCAATGCCTATTGCAATATAATTCCACATTATTAATTTTACTATGTTTGACCAAGGAAGGTACTTAATGTACGGTATGGCATCTATCCATTTGAGTTTATTTTTTAAATTATATAACTTGTTTAATGTATATCATTTACGTAGATGGGCTACCGATGATCCAAATCCTCGTGCCAAAGCCGAATATAAAAGAAAAGCAGAAGCAATTGCAGCACAAGCAATACAAAAAAGTCTTCCTGCTGAATTCACATTAGGCAATACCGATTATACAAACAAACGGCTTAGAACGAACTTTGATTCTATTACTGATCAATATGGACTAGAGGGATATCAAACGCCAGTGGGTTTGGAACAGCCCGCTTTTTATGATAAATCTGTTGGAAGTGGTGATGAACAACATTTAAATACAGTAGTTGCACCTGCAGAAAATGTTAAAGATTCTTCACCCATACAGCAAAAACCGTCAATTGTTTCCGCAGAAACTCTTGAAACTTTGAAATACATTTCACAGAATTTACATTCAAAAAATATTAATCCAACAAACACAACTTCTGTACAAAAGTCAAGCGATTCAGCGCTAACAGGATTAGCAGTTTATGATAGTGAAGAAGACGACTAAGGAGTGATTGTAGTCGATTAAAAAACTTATAAGCTTAGTCAAGTCGGTTATTATCTCAAAAATTAAATCGACTAATAATAAACTATGATCCGAAAACTCTCACTGATCACGCTTGTATCTTATTTCTTATTTTATTTGCATCAATCTAATGTTCCCGAAGTAAAAAATAAAAAAATAAATAAATGTAAAAAAAAGTGACGTCCCAAGGATGTTCATTCAACATCCCCAAGTGTAAGTTGATTCTATAATCATAATGCTGCACCTAATATATAATGACAGGTGTGACCAGTGTTTATTTTTATTAAAATAAAATCAAGAAAACGTAAATACTGAAATAAAATATACAAATACAAATAAAGACTTACCTAGAAACCAACTTCATTCACGATGCCTATCTAAGTTCATATCGATATAGTGAAGTTAAGCTCAAAGCTATACGTATAAAATTCACTCGATATAGTGAATTTACTAATAAAACTCTCGATATAATGAATTTTTTAAAAATTTTTATTAATGATTTCACTATAACAAGAATAACTTGTATAAAATAACGAGTCAAACACGCTTCAGCAGCATTAAACTACCGCCAACAAGTCTGTCCTATCTAAAACATCCAACGACCCAATGGCTGCTCTGACGAATGGAATGAACCAAAAGACAAAAAAAATTATTAGTTTCAACGGTGAAAAAACTCAATCTAAGAAGCGACAAAGAGAAAACATTTTATTCTATGCGCGTGTTCGGCGATATACAAAGCGTGTTGCAGAATGCGATTGATTATATTCTATGTCTAAAATAAAAAAATTTTCATCGATTTTAGATAAGTGATTATTGGGATATTTTTGCTCAAAGTTAGAAAAAACTTGAATAACTATCAAAACAAAGTTGTAGCAAAATTTTTCCGAACTTTGAGCGGAGATATCTCGATAACCATCTATCTAAAATTAAAATTTTTTTTATTCTGACTGTATAATTTAAAATAAAAAAAATTTATTTAGAATAATTTAATCCAATCAGAAGCGACTATTCAAGTAGAATCTTATATGATTATAAGGAATACATTTTAAAAATTATATGATCATTCTGATATAGCTTAACGGTTAGAGCGCGGGTCCGTACATTGCACTAGGTACAGGTTCGAATCCGGCTGGTGCCAGGCTCTCCATACTCGTAGTGAAGATTGCCCAGTTTGCAAATGTCAGGTGATCATTGGCCGATTAATTTAGTTATTTTGCCCAAAATTGTGATTATTGCGAATTTGTCCTATACTCACATGATCAGATTATTCATTTTATCACAAAATTTACCAATCATAGATTATCTCTTGCAATCGTTAATTCCAGATGAGGTTAGTCTTTAAACGGTTATTTTATTCAAATCGAGTTTTTTTTTATTAATTGCTAATATGTATAATATTCTATATTGCAGAAACTGTCATGTATAATCGAGCCTTGACTGCTGGTTCGCCATATCTTAAATAAAAATTATATGCTAGCTAAACTTATACAGTAGACATTAATATTCTCGCAACCACAATTTGTTAAGGGATAACTTGTTAATGCTTATAAAGAACCATATTCTAATATCTAACCATTATATTTAGCAATTATATGTTATTATTATATTTATTAGTATATTACGCAATCATGTAAGTAACACGATAATTATGCGATATTTATATCAGTCACTTTATTACTTTGGAGCGACGAATAACTATGTTTTAGTTTGATTTTTTCCATGGCGGTAAAAATGGCATTCAAATCAGTACACTCATCTAATTCAACCGTATCTCTATGTAAGTATATATCTCCCTGTTGTAATCTTACCAATTCTACAACATGGGCTGCACTATTAAGCTCTATTCCAATATCGTGTATTAACGATCGAATATATGTTCCTTTTCCACATTCGACATGAATTTTAAAAATTGGATTGTTCAATAGCGAATTGTCTATAATTGAATTTTCATTAATTATTGCATTACTTTGATCATTCGTATTCACTTCATTATTTTCAGATGTTCTTGTTTTAAGTATTGTAGCTGTTGTTGTAGGAGGCTTATAATCATGGTTAACAGTAAAATCTAATAATGATAATGAATGAATCTTGATTGCGCGAGGTTCGATGCTTTTCGGAAGTGCAATTCCTTTACGTGCGTAATCATAAAGGCGTCGACCTTCCATTCGCAAAGCAGAATACCTTTATGTTGCAATAATGTAGTAATATAATAACAATATTATAATGATAACAATTGGATTGTTTGGAATGTAATAGTAATTAAGCTTACAGAGGTGGCTTTTGTGAAATATCTCCTGTAAATTTTTGTAATGTAAATGTTAGCATCTCTTTGGTGATATGCTTAACTGGTGTAATCTTTAAAAGTTTTCCATAGGAATCGTAACTATCTGTCGCGAAACCAAACAATCCAGTTGCTAAATAAACCTGAAATAATGTTAAAAATAAGATAGAAATAGCAGTTTTAAATTGAATTTATTTGAAAAGTAAAGAAACCTTATTGCAGCCGATATATTTATGTAGTTCTTTACACCCGTCATTTACACCAATTACTAATACACCAGTAGCTAATGGATCTAATGTGCCACCATGTCCTAATTTTATTTTTTTTTTATTTACAATTGAGTTCGATCTATTTCTAAAAAGTTCTTTGAGCGTGTTTAATACATCTGTAGAAGTTTTTCCACGAGGTTTATTTATCGCTAATATTCCGTGCGGTAACATTAGGTTTTTTTTTAGGAAAAGTGTTGCATTTCGAAAATTTGATGAACTGCAAACATATAAGTAGGATACAAATATGGTGCACGTGCATGCGTATGTACGTACGTACGAACCAGGAAATCCGTCATACCTGATACGTAGTAAAATTACAAAATTTGGCTTAGTAAATTGCAAGATACGCTTTTTAAAATATTTTTTGGCTTGTTTGTGATCCACTAAGCCAATATTTGTAATCTTATCACTATTGAAATTATAACTTTTATGGTAAGATTAGCGTAATAAAAAATTAGTTCTAATTTAATAATTTTGATCGGTTTTGAACAGTTTGGACATGCCCAAAACTGTCCAATTAAAAAATTTAATTGAACATGTCCAATTGCCAACTCTGCTTACGTACGTTAGTTCGTTTTAGACTCGGATATTTCGGTTTCAAGCAAGCAATAGACCTAATTTAGATTCAATTTCTGAACGCAGAATCTAAATAAGGCTCACTTCCCCTCATTTATAATTTAATATTCAACATTTATTGTTTAAGAATTAATTACTGCGAACTACACACGTATAAATGTGTTCAAAACGACCATGTGAAAGCTCTTCATTCGACAAATATTTATATAAATAATGGTACTTAAGCACTAATGTCGTGTCTGGTACGTACAATGAACATTTTGATACTATAAGTGACATCTTCGTAAGTTAATCTCATCATCGCAAAGATTACGAGCTTTTTTTCTACTATGCTGTTAACGCAATCTACCCAAATAATAAATCTCCTACTTTTCCTATATTATACAAAATATTCTCTGGTATGTTCGAATAAATACACAATTCCCGCCATTTGTTACTGTACATAAATTTCTTCCGAAAGGGAGAATTGAGGATGAATATCCTCTTTTGGGGTTTTTTTTTTCGGATTGATTCTACAAGGTATTAAGGATCTCTATATACATTCATTCTACAAAGTAGACATTGTCCCAAATAATAATAAAGGAAAAAAAAGGAAAAAAGAAAAAAAGGGAAAAAAACGAAAAACCATCTTATACATACAATATACAACGGAAAGAATCAATTTACAACGCGGAATTTAACAGGATGATTAAAGTGTTTAGTATATAAAAACTTAAGGGAGGTTAGCAGTGAGTGTGAGAAGAATGGATACTTTTTTTTGTAATATATATATATATTTATATATATATAACTAGTGTTTTGAATATGCTCGCTTTTGTTCACCTTTGTTGAGCTTCTGAAGAAAATTAACTTTTTGGCTGATTTCACCTGTAAAACCAATTTAATTAAATCAATAAATAATGAAAAATGTCCGATCCCCGGACGGTAGATGATTTTTGCCACCATCTAAATCAAATAGTAATTTATGAAGCACATTAGGGCTGGAGGACTATACTAAGGTAAGAGATAAGTTAGGCATTCAATTTACTATTCAATTTAGGCGGAGTAGCATTAAACAATTTTCCATCCGGGTGAGGCAAAGACAACTCAATAAAATAAAAATAAAATGTGACTTACTGGCCAACTTCGTCGACTCTGCTTCAAAGTCATATGTTTTTGTTCCAGAATCCCGATATATCACCAGTTTGAAATTGGCAGGAGCCTTTTTATTTACTTTACAGGACATCACTGATGTGATATGATATGATGACTAAGAATGTTAAAAATAGAATATTAGTGCGTGAAATAAATACGAAAAATAATGAATAAATAAATAAAATGACTTTAATGAATAGATGGTATACCGTTTTCACTGATTCAAACATAGTTCTTGTTTCCGATGGCATTATGTGAATATAATCACCATCAATTGCTAATACACGTTCGTGGCGTCCAACAAACATTGGTATCTTACGATTGACAGTGTATTTCTAAAGTAATTGTTTAAGTTAGAGGAAAATGAAATATAATTCGTATAAAATCATACAAACAAATTTTGTACCTTGTAAACTGACATGAATTCATTGGAAGAAAAATATAGAGGCTGAGGCGGATCGTTAAGTGTTCTTCTTCTGACAAGATTCCGATCCTTAAACGCTAAAAATAATGATAATATAAGTAATAGTTTCCTTCCTTATTTATATGAATTTTTCAAATGATCTACCTGTCGGACTTGGTGGCGTTACTTCAGGAGCAGTTGACGTTCCATTAGTGGATTTCTCTACAAGTGCAAGCTCCTTAGCACTCCCAATGCTTTCAACTGTCTTTTCCATATTTATGTATTTATCAGTATCAGCAATTTTTAATGTATACTTGTTGATATCCAATTTGCGTTTACGGCAAATCGATTCCAAAACGTTCTGAAAGGGCGTGTTAGCCAGTGCAGGCACAGTGGTTGTGTGTGCAACTTCTTCATTTGGATTAAGGGTAACTCGAACACGCAAAAATATTTGGTTGGTAAAATCAACTGCACTCCCTTTGGACGTGTTATTATTACTCATAATGCCGCCACTTTCAAGCGCAGGTTCGGTAGTCCCATTCTTGATAGGTGAGGTAGTATTTTCTTTATAAGTGGATGCCCTCAATTTATTCGAAGCTGCCTCATTTTGTTTGGCTGCATGCCGATATTTTAATAGTTAAAATTAAAAATATTAAAACAATAATAACAATAAACAATTATGAATTAACCTTGAGCTGAAGTCGCCTCGCATAAGGCAAATTGTTCAAATGAGAATTTTACTATTTTCTGCGTTCTTTCCAGAGCTTTGTAAATTTCAAAAAAAATTAGTACGAGAACCTAAACAGAGTTAAATCTAGTTAAATTGATAAATTTTCGTCACTTACCAGGAAAATCTTCGTCAATTTCACCATCGTCTTCCACCATTCTCATATTCCACTGATAAACATTACATAATCTTTTCTCTAATAAAGGTTCCCTCTTTTCATCCCAGTATTGATATAATATATATCCTATAACTTCCTCAACACTGGCGTCTCTTTTTACAATTATAGTTAATGGCCGTGAAGGTTCTTTGCTAAACGGAAGGTAAATCCTCAGTGTTATCGGATTAAGATCACCTTTTCCAGCAAAGAAGCTGTAATATTCAGCAAATGGATTGTCCAGTTTATTTTTTTTCTCTGCAATTAATGCTGTTAACGCTGAGAAGGGCTTAAGTTTTGGACCAGTCTTTGGCGGATCAGGAAAAAGATCCTTCTCTTCAAGTTCAGTTAATGCTGGCCTTGATGGTGGACTTGACGTTATTTCTGTCAAATCTGCTGTTAGTAGAGACGTCTCTGAATCTCTTCTCTCATTCAATACTCTATAACTTTCTGCAGAAGTAGTTGGCGATAGTTGTGGCGTTTGTTCGGTTGATGACATTTCAAGTATAATATCTGGAGAAGTTTTTAGAGCATCCTCCGGTGAATAGGAATGAACCAAATTCCGACGAGTGGGTGGTTTCGAAGGAGATGTCACAAATACAGGCGGAGGGGGCACAGTTTGCTTTGGTAAAAGAAGTTTGGCAAACGAAGGCTGTTTTCTATAATAAATTATAACATAGACGTTCCAATTATTCATAAAAATAATAAAGAACTCACACGTAAAACATCAAGTTTTTATAAGAAAGAAACATTATTAACTTATTAACATACGCATTTGCATCACCATCAAGTTCGATGTCATCGTCACTGTCACCATTGTCGGCATTATTTATACTTGACTTTTCTCTACCACCATGTGTTGATATTGCATCTCTACTTCCATTTGAAGAAGTTATATGTTTTATCCTCCCATTACCTGATATGGGTGAACAAGCTGCACTACTTATTACGCTTTTACTGCTAAAATAATCGTTTCCCGGCATGCAAATGCTCGGTGAATGACAAGTTATCATCTCTGGATACGAAGATGCAGCAGTTTTAATGTAGTCATTTGTAAGAACACTTGGATTGAAACTAATAACTCGCTCTCCGATTCGGTCCCCTACACGACGAAGATAACCTATACGTAGTTGGTGAATAATATATCTTTATAGTAATTCGAATCACATTTTGTTAATAAGTAAAATCCTGTAACCGTAGAAATATGAAACTTTTTTTTTTTATTCACATACTCTGGATCATTCAGCACCGACATTGAAAAATTGGTAGTTGTTTGTGTGTTAAACCTTTGTTCTTGGTATTTCGCATGAAGTCCGTGGATTGTTGAATACTTGTAAAGGATAATTAACTTACACCTACGTCATGATCTCGATATATATAGGTTCGGATGCTTTTTAAATAGAAGATCAGAATTTACAGAAATATCACAGAATAAGTTCATGTCACCGCAGAACACCACAGAAATTAGTGAATCGCATTATTAATCACATAACGACATACTGTTTAATTACAAATGCCAACAATTTTTAGCAGTACTCCCATAAGTAAATAGGTTGAGATATACACGACATATAGCATTTTCTCCTTGTACGTGTATAGTACCTTTCTTCTCACACAGTACCCAAGCTAGTTTGGGTCTTTTTTGTGTATATCGAAGATTTTTGACATCTAAATGCTGTTAGTCGGAGTATTATACTCTATATAGAGTATTTTGGTTTAACTCCAAACCAGACTGAAGTTATATATAAAATATGTATATATAAAATATTCAAACTGGTTTGCTAAATTAAAACCCAAATATGAGTATTAGGCCACAGATTTAGTATCTTTGTTTTCATAATATCGATATGAAACTTTTAAACGGGCCCGGCCGGCAGACTTTTTTTTTTTTTATGTTAAGGTGAATTGCCGAGTTTTTTATACAGTATGTAAAAATTTTATAAAAATGTTTTTTTAAAAAATCCACCCAGTTATTAAAAATTGACCCGGTCGGATTATGAAAACCAATTATAATAATAATAACAATAATTAATTTTGCATGCCTTATATTAATAATATTTAAAGCTACATATATAATTTGAGTTAAAATTTTTAAATTTAATATGTATATTTTAAAACTAAAGAAATTTTTTATAATTTTAATTAATATACAGTACATGGTGCAGAATGTCTAATTACAGTATATAATTATTTGCAACTAATATTGATAACTTTGGTTTAAAAAAAATACCATATCTTAATTTATACCAGTATATAAAACAGAGATATACTCAGTGATATAAATTGGATCCGCACAGTAGGCGCAGCGTACATAGATTAAATTTGCGCATATATCAACCTCTCTGTATATATAAAGCGCGTATAAATTTCTTTTTTGTGCAATATTTTTTTGTTTGCATATACTGTAATTTGTATATAAATTAATACAATGAAAATTAAGAGCATAGTCTATATTAAAGTTTTATAAAAAAAATTTTTTTGTTAGTACCCAAATAGTAGTTTTATAGGCAAAATCTTTATTATATGTGTCTGTGTTCTATATACTGTATATACTAGTGTACAAATAGAAATTCTTTAAAAAAAATGATTTTTTAAAAAAGTATATATAGGAGAAGTCAACAAAAAACAGAAAATTTATTTTTAATAATTTTTTTAAAATTTAAATTCAAGTATTTTAACAATATCTAATCAAACTTGATAAAAATTCTTTTATTTTTATTTCTATAACTATAAAATTAAAACAAAAAAAAATTTATTATATTTAATTTAATTTAGGGAAATTATAGGCATCTCTCGCGAGAGATATATCTCCCAGAATCCTTTAAAGTCTATTTACGTTAGAATGGCATTAGATTAAGGTTAGAGGTAAGTAGATTACATAGTGAATTTGCTCAAGGAAAACTTTTCATTAGAGCACAAAAGTAGGTTTCTTATGCGTTTTTTTGAAAAATAAGCGATTTTTTCTTTGAACGAACGTTTGTTTTGAATTTTCTTGATCGTATTACATTGCACTAAATTGTGGATCGCTATTGGCAGAAGATATACATCGATATATACTACTGCGAGAGGTGCCTAGAAGCACCCTTTAATTTAATGCAAAAATACCGTTCCTGATGGATTGTCGGTACTGTTCCTGATAGGGTGGGAAAAAAATCTAATTTACATACCGTTCCTGAAAAAAAGGCTCCAAAATACTATTACTATAATAGAAAAAAAGGTTAGGTTAGGGTTCGTTTTTAGACCCTATCAGAAACAGTACTCAAATAAAATTTTTTTTAACTCTATCAAGATCGGTATTGCCGATCCATCAGGAATAGTATTTTTGCTAATTTAATAGTTATTAAAATATTTTAATTTATAGTTTAAAAAATTTTATTTAGAAAAAATTTGTTTTCTATTGACCTTCTCTATATACTGTCAGACCTCTCTATAGTCACCTCCTCTATAGTCACATTTGCTTATAATCACATAAATTTTTAAACCAACTTATATAGCACTCATAAAATTTAATCTCTATATAAGCACAAACTCTCTATAAGTAACAAATTCTTAAAACCAAGAGTGTGATTATAGAGAGGTTTAACTGTATATAAAATCATTTTAAAACCTAAAGAATATAATAAAGTTTTTTGAAGTATATACAGTAGTTTTTTTTTTACTGTATTTAAAAAGTTATTATTTTTAAACATTTCTTGGTTTTTTAATAAATTTAGAATTTAACATTTTAAAAAATTAAATTATAATTCAGTTAAAATAATTATGTTTGACATTTACGTGTGTATCATAATTTCCTACAATATATATATATAGGATCTTTGCTATGTAGGAAAATCACCCTTTGACATTTTCCGATCAGGCTAATTCGGAGGTCGTTTAAAACCTGGCACCTTATGAAATTTCCCGATCATCAATGATCATCGGATAATCAAAGGACATACCTAATACCTAATCAAACTTAAAACTTCTAGTGAAGGTTTCTCAATAACTACTTGATTAAATTCAATAAAAATTTTTTTATTATAATTCTACAAATATATATAGAATTAAAATAAAAAAAAAAGTTTATTGAATTTGGTTTCATGTTTGTCAAGGAATCTTCGGTAAAAGTTTAAAAAAAACCTTCGAATATCAAAAAAAGCTAAAATCGGGTGAATTTTTCTCTTTAACCGAAGATTTCTCGACATTTATCGATAAAAATTTTTTTATTTTAATTCTATGAATCTATAAAATTAAAATAAAATAAAAAAATTTGATCGAATTTGATCAGGTAAGTGTCGAGTAATCTTCATTCAAAGTTAAAAAAGAACTTTGCATTTTTGCGATAGCGTTAAAATATTCTAGACCTAGTATAAATTATTAATAATATAGACCGTTAAAAGGAGATTTTTATAGTAAATCGCAAATTTAGTTTCTTACTAGCACTATTAACGAGATATTAACGAAACATAATTATATTTTTGCCTGGAGCAAAGTGATAGATTCATATTTCTATGCCCTTTGATAACCAAAATTACGTTTTTGATACATTTTAGTAGCAATATAAAAAAAAGTTTTTTAACAGAGTACGAAAATTATTAATTTTTCTTACTCCATCAAAAAACCTTGTTAATAGTGCTAAATTTGCGATTTACTATCTTAACGGTCTATATTATAAATGTAAGATTTCCGCAAAGTTTGCCGCAGTTTTTATTTTATAGATACTTTAAATGAATTTTGCGGAAATCTTAAATTTTTTTGATAGCATTAAAATATTCTAGATCTAGTATAAATTATTATTGCGTTTTTCAAATTACTGTGACCACGCATCACACCGGAAATCAGGAATCTAGAAAAAATGCCAATCTATAATTGGTTAACAAATTATTAGAATAATTTTTAGCCAATTATAGATTGGCATTTTTTCTAGATTCCTGATTTCCGGTGTGATACGTGTAATTTGCTGGTTTCAGTAATTTGAAAAGTGCTGTAATATTATACCCTGGTCACTATATCAAGATCGCAGGGCATAAATCAGTTATACCCTGGGCACTATGTGTGTAAGCGGGACTTATACCCAACTGCCCAGAATATAACTATTACATATAGGCCGTTAAGAGGAGATTTTCATAGTAAATCGCAAACTTAGTTTTTTACTAGCGCTATTAATGAGGTTTTTTGCCGATTTTAACTTTTGTTCTACTGTGCGGACAACCTAATCCCAACCAATAAAAATTTTTAGTGGCCAAATTCAGATTTGATTTTTTATATATATAAAGAGGCCAATTTAAAATTTAGCTAATATTTATATATAAAGTGGCCAAATTTAAATTTTTAATATACAAATTTGCTTTGTTTTATATATGTAAAAGGTGGCCAAATTTCATATTTAATTATAAAAAACTATAACTATAACTTTTTTATAAATAGATTTAAAAAAAAATTAAGAACTTGGAAGTGTTTAGCTTGTTTGATTTAAGATAATATTTTTTGTTTACTTTTTTTTTTGAAAAAGAACTAGCAATTTAAATTTCATCAATTTTATTGGTCAGGTTGTCTGCACTGTAAAGATATTTAAACTTTTACCGAAGATTTCTCGACAACCATGAAACCAAATTCAATAACCTTTTTTATTTTAATTCTATATCTTTGTAGAATAAAATTAAAAAAAATTTTATTGAATTTAATCGAATAGTTGTTGAGAAACCTTCGCTAGAAGTTTTAAAAAATCTTTAGTTTGATTAGGTATGTCCCGTGATCATCCGATGATCATTGATGATCGTAAGTTTCCATCATAGGAGGACATTCGTCTGATTGGCTGATGTAAATCAATTGCCCGGGTAACTTATTTATACACTTTAAAGTACTTTTCGAGAACTTGACGTTTCACCAAGTAAAAATCACCGCAAAAGCCATGTTTCGTTTTTGCAGGACGTCTATATTCACTAGGTAAAAATAATCAAAAATAATCAGTAACTCCATGAACCTCACTTAGAAGCGAAGTTTT